GGAGCCCGATGCGGGACTCGATCCCGGGACTCCAGGATCATGACCTGAGCCGAAGGCAGTCGCTTAACCAACTGAGCCACCCAGGCGCCCTGTCCATTATCTTTTAAGGTCCCCTGATCTCTCAGACACGAGTAATAACTTCCCCTATAGAATAATTTTTGTGTGAGAAAACACACATGAAGGTTTACTCTGGGTTCCTGGCACCTTATAAGCAGTCAGGAAATGTCAGTCATTGTGCATATTCCTGTGATTTTTCTCATTAGATCTTCATAACCACTTTTCAGTACTGTTACCATGCCCATTTTACAGATGAGAAAATTTAGGTTTCGGAGATATCGTCACTTTCTAAGGTGGTATCAGCTCATGAGTGGCAGAGCTGAAACCCTGGGGTCTCTGACTCCAGAGACAGAATTCTCACACTTCACTACCCTGCCCTACCCACTTAGGGGGACACCTTCGCTGTGGGGTTTTCATATTATACTAATGTGATGGTGGTACCAAAAAAAAATTAAAAAACTAAAAACGATGCTCAGTGGGCCCTGTGCTAAGTGCTTTGTGGGCACCGTGGCAGCCCTTCATGTGGGCTCAAAGAAGCTGAGTAACTTGCTTCGGGTGACAGAGCTAGTGAGGAAGGGACCCAGGGGGTTCTGACTGGAAACCCTGCCCTCTAACCCCTTCATTCAGGACTGTTTTCCTTCCTCCGAGGCACTGGCAATATTTCTCCTTTTGATACTTACTAATAACCATGATGGAGCATGCCTCCCATTTCAGCTTGATGGCTGGGTACCCCAGGGACTTGGGACTGCCCTGAATCATCTCTTCCACCTTCCAGCTTCCGGCCTTGTTTAGTCCTGGTCCTCTGTGCTTATTCATGTCTCTGTACCCTAGAGTCTACTTTCTTATTTTGTTAACCACATTCTGTTTAGAGCGGCTTCAGATCCTTGAGGGACTAAGGACTGATATAAATAATGCAAAATAAATATACTGGCTGTTGCAAAACATATATAGAAGTGCATAATCCTCAGTCATTTGCCCTTCTCCCATTTCATAAGAGGTTCCCTTCCCCTGACTCCTATCAGTTGACATCTGTTGGGTTAACCAGCTAGACGTTAGGCAGTGCGGTTTGTAGCTGGCGATTGCTCTGCACCGTATTGCGCTGTTACCAATGACAAATGGCGGGCTTTAGTCATTTATTTATTTGCTTACCTACTTAAAGTGCATTTTTGTTGTTGTTGTTGTTGTTGTTGTTTTGAGTGACCAGATTGTCCAAAGGATGCTTTTTAAGTTGCCTCCATGCAACGAGAAGACTAATGGGGTAGCAACTAAAGTTAATTTCCCCAAGTGGCCCCCTTCTGGTGCAGTCTCCCCGTGACCCCCTGTGGGTGAAATATTGTCTGGCTCATCTTGGTAAAAAATGTAGTCACCATAATCAGGTGGGTGTAGGTTGAGTTCTTAGTCCCCACATCTCTCCTTTTGTTTGTAGATGCTTCAGCTCTCAAAGAAGTGAACAGTTAGAACTTGCTTTTTCATATTTGAGCAGTTCTCCAGAATTAATCTATGTTGGGGGTTTACTTCTGGCACAGCCACTGAATATAAGCAGGATCTGATTGAGAGGCTGTAGTTAAAAGGAGCCATGAAGTATTGGGTTGTATTCATTCTTTCATCAAATGATTAGGAAACTCCTTCTATGTGTTGGGGCTCCTCTGGGTGCTGTGGAGACAGCTGTAAAGCATGCAGGTGAGGCACCTGCCCCCTTGGAATTTAACACTCTGCATAAGACATACAGTAAGCAGGTGAACGACAAATACAACAGAGATCAGTTGCTATGAAGAGAATAAAATAGGGCAGAGGAGAATAAGCAGTTGGCCAGATTGCTGCTTCAGGTAGGATGATCAGGGATGGCCTCACTGAGGAGGTGATGTTAGTGTGGATGAGGGGACCCTAGCCATGGCGAAGAGCCAGGAAAAGCGAGGAAGAGCAAGGCAGTGGCCCTGAGTGTCTGATACAGTATTCTTTTGCCAGCATTCTCTTGGGTCAGTTTCATAAGGATATAAATGGCTATTTTAGTAAAACATCCTTGGGGTGATTATTGAATTACTGTGTCTTTTCCTTACCAGGCTACCAGTTTCATGGGGGGCAGGGTCCAGGCCTCTTTTTGCTCACTGTTGTATCTCCTATGATGGGCGTAGTGCCCAACACATGACAGGCGCACAGTAAATACTGGATGGATGGATAAACAGATAGATGCATAGGCGCATGAATGAATAAGAAAATGGATGGAATGATGGGTGGATAGATGCAATGGTAAGGAACCTAAAAGAAGATACAAGGTGGTAAAGGGCAATGGAGGACACGGAAGACTTGAGCTTGGTTCAAAGAGTGTGGGAGTCTGGGAGGACTCAGTGACACACAGAATAAGGCCAAGCAGTAGGTAGGCGATGACTTGTACTGCCACTGGGAGCTGGTGGAGGGGAAAAGATAGAACCAGGGAGCACAAATAGGAAGGATGGCTCTTGTGCTGTATGTTGAAAACAACCAGAAGTAAGGAGGAACAGTGAGAAGGAGAGGAAAGAGCACAATCAAGAAGCGCTTTGTCGGCCAGTGAGACTGACATTTGTCAACGCGGCATAGGGGCTAGTGTAGCTAGAAGAAGGGTCACAGCGATTGCAGTTGCCTTTTGACAGATGGACACATGGTGGCTTTCCCGGGGCTTGCTGAACCTGGCAGCAGGTGTTGGGGGTGGGGGAGGTGCGGCAGGGTGAGGGATTGAGGAGTTAAGGGGCCACAGTGGCTGGTAAGGTTTTACTTCCTTCTAGGATTGCAGGCCTAAGGCTACCTTTGGTAGGGAAATGCCATCTTTCCAAATGGGGGAGGATGTGAAATTGGCAGAAAGATCCAACTGGGAGAAGCAAATATATTGTTTGGAGCTTTGTTTTATTCCTCTGGAAATGACCGTATTGTATTTTTATGTAAATAATTCGCAACAGCGTGGTGTTTGCAAAAGGGGTGAAAAGAGAATACTCATAAATGAAGTTGAGACACCATATTGTGTTTTCACATCAACATTGTATACTGTTGCTTGCAGTGGGCCCAAAAACAAATGTGCACCCAAGAGGCAAACTACCTGTTAACTTTGAGCTTCTTCATTTAACCACTCTTTACCTGTCCTTCAAGACCTGATTTGAAAATCACCTTTTCCACAAAGATTTTGGGATCACTCCGGCCCACTGTCATCCTTGCCAAGCTCTGAGCTTCTAGTATGTAACTGTCTGTGTAGCTTCTGGAGCACTTTTTACTGACACATTTTTGTTTTACTTACGGACTTGTCATCCTAACTTGGTATGGAGCCCTATAGGGGCACGCAGCACATCTTACTGATCTGTATATATTCACAGGGCTGTGCAAAGTGGAGAGGCTCACAAAAGTCCTTAAACACATGACAGGACCTGCAATAATCACCAAAAATACGTCATCTCCACTGTTGATGGAGTTGTTTTGGGGTATAGGCCCTTGTTCTTAGTAGCCTGGAATCTCCCCACCACCCCTTAGCATGTGTCTCAAGCCTGTGTGTCTGCTCCATCAAAGACATCCCCTGGTGGGCTGCTTTAAAGTCTCTGTATAGAAAACCTCAGGCCGTACAATCCAGAGAACGATAGTGCGTGGAACCCACTTTGGTCCAAACCTAGACCATTCGTGAGGTTTTGCAGCTGGCTCTGATCTCCGTGAGGTTTTGGTGTCTTGAGTGGGATTAGATCCCTAGTCTGTCTCAGTGTTGAAAATCTGTGGCTTTTCCTTGGCAGCACTCCTTTTTCTGCCGGTTAACAGAAGATAAGAAGTCAGAAAAATTCTTCAAAGTCTTCTATGACCGAATGAAGCTGGCCCAGCAGGAAATCAAAGCAACAGTGACTGTGAACACCAGTGACTTGGGGAATAAAAAGAAAGATGATGAGATAGACAGGGATGCCCCATCCCGGAAAAAAGGTGAGTGTTCCCCTGTGTGCAGCCCTCCCACTAGCTGGACCTCCAGACTCCAAACTGTATTCCGACTGAGGCTTTCAGGAGAAGCAAACCAGTCTGGTTATAATGTAATTCTTCCCAAGTAACCAGAGCTGAACTGCCGTGCTTTGGCAGTTCTTCTCCTGTAAAAAATTTACATACCTTCTTCTTGGTCAAGCTCAAGCTTTTATTGTCAGGAAATCCATTTGTAACATTTTCCTGTAATTTTCTGTTCAGTGGTAAGGAAAGTTAAGGAAGACACACACTTTAGGGGCACCTGGGTGGCTCAGTTGGTTAAGTGTCTGACTCTTAATTTCAGCTCAGGTCATGATGTCAGGGTTGTGGGATTGAGCCCCGCATCAGGCTCCACGCTCAGTGGGGAGTCTACTTAAGATTCTCTCTCTCCTCTCCCTCTCCCTAATGCTCTTGCATGCACTCTCTTTTTTTCTCCCTCTTTAAAATAAGTAAGTAAATCTCTAAAAAAAAAAAAAAAAAAAAGATAAGCACTTTAAAACTGGGTGTCCATCCCTTGTTACCTAATTCCCCCTTATTTATCTAAATTATTTGGAAGTGTCTAAAGTTGTTCATTTATGCTCTCACTTGAAGAGAGGTCATACTTGGAAGTATGTAGATGCACCCGTGTTCGAGTCAAATGGCTGTGAACAGGTTAATGAGACACTCCGGGCCTCTTTTTTTAAGTTTAGAACAGGGTTTCTCGGCCACAGTACATTTGGCATCTGGAGGAGGAGTTGCTGGAGGGGCTGTCCTGTGCGCTGTGGGAGGTTTAACAGCATATGAGGCCTCTACCCAGTAGATGCCATCAGCCCATCCCGGCAGCCGACTAGAAGTGTCCTCAGATTTTGCTAATTGTCCCCTGGGCAGGGGTGGGTGCAAAATCAGCTCTAGTTTATAACCACTGATCTAGAATGGGAGTAAAGAGAAGAAGAAGAAAGGCTAACATTTACTAAGTACTTTCTATAAACGAGGCACTGTTGAAAGTCCTTTACATCCTTTACTTCATTTGGAACTGAAATTAACCCTGAAAATAGAATTGTTATCCCCATTTTACAGATGAGGAAATTGAGGAGTGGAGATTAACTTGTCCTTGCTAAGGCTATGCAGCGAGTGGGCAGTAGAGCCAGGATTTGAACCCAGGCGGTCTGGCTCCAGAGCTCCACACTCCTCACTCTGATGCCTAATTACCTCCCAGGGTTACTCAGAGGATTCGATGAGGTAATACACAGTGCCTGGGTACTTAGTGGAAAGCACTCAACCTGTTGTCACCTCAGTAACAGTAATTACGGTTGTGGTCGTCGTTATGTTGACCCTCTCAGAAGCTTCTCTAGGTAGAATTCACTGATGCTCTCCTCACTTTGCAGATGAGGGCACTGAGGCCCAGAGCCATATAGGTTTGTGAGGTTGACAGCCGATACTAAGGCTTTTCCTCTAAAACAGTGCAAGCTTAGATGAAATGTCAGAACCATGAGCCAGTTGGCAGGGCGTGACTCAGTTTTAATCCTAAGGACTAAGAGAAGTGACTTCTTGGAGTGTTTGGCCAACCTTGAAGATTTCTAGTGAATACCAGGACCTACACTTTTGAACATTATGTTTCCTGCAGTGAATCGTACTCCTGAGGACTCAGCAGCATTGAGTGTCTTCTGTTTGCATTCTAGCCAAAGAGCCCTCGACACAAATAACCGAAGAGGTCCGAGACCAGCTCCTCGAGGCCTCTGCTGCCACCAGGAAAGCCTTCAGCACCTTCCGGAGGGAGGCTGACCCTGACGACCACTACCAGTCCGGGGAAGGTGCCCAGGCCACAGCGGACAAGACCAAGGACGAGCTGGAGATGAGCGCGGTCATCACCATCATGCAGCCCATTCTCCGGTTCCTGCAGCTCCTGTGCGAAAACCACAACCGGGACCTGCAGGTGAGGGCTGGCCCCTGGGACTTGCAGCTCCTCAGACATCTCTGCTCCCCTCGCTGCCACCAGCTTCCTTGAGTCGAGGACCCAGGATGGTTCTGACATCTGGGCAACTGACATGTTTGTCTTCCCCGCCCCCATCTCCACACGGACAGGAACCAAGTCTCTTGCTCACCAATGTAGGTGCCTGCTGCATACATAGTGAAACGTAGGTTGTGCCTGTGTGTGCATGTGGTAGGCTGCCGTAGATGCACAGGTAAAACTTGGATGGACGGATGAATGATTAAATATACTAGACTTACAAAATCTGATACATAGAAAGTTCCAATTAAATATTTGTTGGTTGAATGAATGAAAAGTGGCTTTCCAGGGTTTTACACAAATAGGTGCTCAAATATATGTGCTGAACTGATTATTTCAGAAGTCTTTTGTTTACTTTTTTATTGATGTCGGGATGATAACAATGGCCGAGGTTTGGCACTTAGAATATCATGGATGCTAAGTGTTGCTGATATTATATTCATTTTATAGATGAGGGAACTGAGGCTCAGGGGACATAGTTAGGGAGTGGAGAACCAGGACTTGAACCCAGGCCGTCTGATGGTAGAGCACCATGTTAAGACAGAGCTTATTTTCTCCTTGCAAAATTTCCCCACCAGCAAAGCCTATATGGAAGGACTAAGGATGGATTCCAGAGATGTCTCTTTCTTTCTTTTTTTTTTTTTTAAGATTTTATTTATTTATTTGACAGAGAGAGAGAGAGAGAGAGAGTGTGTGTGTGTGTGTGTGTGTGTGTGTGTGTACAAGTAGGGGAAGCAGGAGAAGCAGGCTCCCTGCTGAGCAGTGAGCCCGATGTGGGGCTCGATCCTAGGACCCTGAGATCATGACCTGACTGAAGGCAGCCGCTTAACCAGCTGAGTCACCCAGGCACCCCCAGAGATGTTTCTTCCTACTGAATGGGCATAGCTCTGTGGAGCCAATCACTGCCCAGGAGCAGCATGCTAGAATACCAGGTCCTTGGCCATTGCCTGGTTTTGCTGCTGGCTTTTGGGAAAAACACCCCTCTCTGCCTAAAAGGGATTGAGGATTAACAAGAAAATTGTGTCTGAACAACTCCACTAAGATAGAATCTTGCCTCCTAAAATAAACAAGTTGGCCGTGGTAGTTCAGTTATTTGAATAATGATGGTATGAAAAGGAAACAGTGGTAAGGAAAAGGTACACTCTTAAAATATTTGCCTTGCTGACTTTATCCATCAAGTGACTTGATGGCCTTTCACACGTCACCTGTGGCCAGAACCTTTGGGGCTGCCACCGTAAATCACTCCTACTTCAACCCTGCCACACAGTCTATGCCTGGAAAAGTTGAGTAAGAAATTACATTGTTAAACAGTAAGACAAAACAATGAAATGGAACTGGGTGAAGTCTGCAGTATTAACAACTTCCACACTGGTATTTATTTTTAATCAAATTGGTCTGAAGAGCCTGAGCTTTGAAAAGACAGGTATATCCAAGGTCATCCATCAGCCAAATCTGGCCCATATTTAAAAATGAAAGCATTTCCCATAAGCCCCATTGGGCTCTTTTTCCACATTGCTGTTCATTCATTTCCTCCATTGACCTTCCCTGCTTGATCCCTCTCAACGTCTGCGTGTGGGATTCCGGCTGTTAGTTTTTCTTTTCTTGCCTGTTGCTCAAATATTCCTACTTTGGACTTAGACCATGTCAGCCCCAGATCCACTGGCCTGGGACAGCCTAGCTTAGCCGGGTAGAACAAAGTATTCATGACTCAAAGATCCAGGGATGGGTTGTGGTCTCATTGGCTGGTGTTCTGTCTCCAGGCCAACTGTGCCCTCTCCGCCTTCCATATGTACACCGTTAGTCATGAGGGAGACTGGCCAAGGGAGTGTGAATGACACCATGGAAAGCCAGGCTGTCCCACCAGCAGGAAGGCAAAGCCAATTGTGGCATCTTTGTGGATGGGGAGACCTCCCTGCTGCTGGGGCTATTTCGAGGCTTGAGCTCAGTGGTCAGGGCCCTGTACTGTCCCCCCAGACTGCTGTCACTGATCTCCACTGACCTTGGGCTCCAAAGGGAAGTGGGTTGAGACCATGCCTGTACGTCATCTGGGTGAATACCTGCTGTGTGCCTGGCATTGGTGGTGACAGAGACCTCACCCCTTCCCTTACGGAGCTGAGAGTCTTGGGCAGGAGCCACTCGGGGAAACCCAAGATTGCTGTGCAGCATGATAAGTGCTATAGTGGTGTCATGTTAGGGGTTTTGTGGGTTCACAGCAGGCAAACCAACCCACTGTGCTGGGTCCAGGAAGACTTCTCAGAGGACCTGATAACTGCCGAGTTCTGAACTAACACAAGACTGCCTCAAATAGAATTCCTCCACGAATGTCAGAGGGGCAGTGCTGACGTGCTTGCTCTCAAGCCTGGTCAGCTTTCGTGGACATGTTCTGACTCCTCCACGGTACCCCTTGATTTCTCTTCTTTAGCACCATACCCGGAGTCCACTGTGGAAGGAGAGTAAGGCTTTCATTGCATGAATTTGCCAGTTCTTATGTGGAAGTCTTCTCAGTGTTCGTTTTGTACCTTAGCTCTTCACATAACTCTCCTTTGAACTAAGGCCCTAAGAACCCCATGGGCAGAATCACCTTTTAATGAGTCCTTCCAAAATTTGATTCTCCAACACATTGCTCTGTGGAAAACAGTACTGGGGGAAAGGGGAGTGTAGAGTATATTTTAATATATTTTTTAAAGTCTTACAACTCAAAAAAAAGTCTTAGCAGCTTAATCTTTGGAAGTACCATAAACATTATCCAAGTCAGTGGCTTTACACTTTTTTGGTTTTGGCCACAGAATCCTTTGTTTAAGATCTTATGCAGAAATGTACTAAGTAAAGCAGATGAGAGCAAAGCTGTTCTATTCAGAGTAGAAACTACAGAGCACAAGAACTTTCCTTTCCTCCCTTACCTACCAGAGCCCTGAGAGGTGGTGCATTCCAGGGATCCCCCTGGGTCCTACAGGGCCCAGGTGGAAAACCAATGATCTGAACCAGTGGTTCACAAGGATGAAGGTTAGAATCATGTTTAAAGACTCCCACTATGTCGTACACACTGAGGTACTGATAAAATTACGTTTGTAGAAATCTGGTTCTCCAAATGATGGCTTTGAGTGGGATTCACCTACTCTGAGTGCCACCGTGTTAGCAGTGTTCCAGAGCAGACGGTGGATCTCTGGGTCAGGGTTTGCCTGTGTACCGAAGGGAAAAGACTTTCTCAAGAGGACAGAATTACTGCCCACCCCCTACCCCCTGGTATAAAGAAGTACCAATAAGCTCCACGAGAGAAGGAATCCAGCCTTTTGAGGTTGGGCCCAGCATCTTAACTTTCCTGTTGGTAAATGTTCAGTAGAGATAAGGCCACTGCTTTTGACTTTGCCAAACAGACAGCTGCTGCCTTAAGCAAGCTTTGTCCACAGTAGTAAGAAGCTTACTGGGAAGGACTATTCTTGAGACGTTTTGCCTGTGTTTTCCATCCTTCCCCTGAGGGGCTGGCTTTGCTTTTCAGCTCGGTTAAGGAATGCAGGTCTCTTACCACTGACATCTGTATGAGAGCAGACTTGAAGTCTTTTCGTTTCTCAATCCACCCATCTTGACTTAGTCCCTGGCCCTCCAAGGAAAACCACAAAAAGAACAGGATTTCTCTAGCCTAAACAAGGCAGGGTAGTGTGTGTGCTAATGGTGAAATCTATTCCCTGAACATAGAAAGAGTCCCTGTGAGCCTCCTAGTGAGTGGCATCCCTCTATTTTTGTAGAGGACAGAGGAAATGGATCTGAGCTGGGGGGGAGATTCGGGCTTGACACTCTGCAAAAACCATGAGCTATGGGAGAGGTTTTCAAGAAAGGGCAGCCAATTATCCTTCGTGAGGAGTTGAAACACAACAGGCTTGAGGACTTCACAAGTCCCCTTTCCTCCACCCATTCAATTTAATTCAGATTATTTTAGCTAGTGTTTATGAAGCACCTGGCGTGTGCCAGTCACTGTGCTAGCTGCCAGGCACCCCGTGCTATCATCATGGTCCTGGACGGAGCTGACAGACATCTCTGTAAGCAAATCATGAAGTGTAAGGAGGGCTGAGAGAGCTGTGTGCCATTCTCTGATCTCACTGGAGTTAGGAGGGCTTTCTGAGACAAGTGACTTGAGATTCCATTCTGAAGAAAGATGAGTTCATTGGGGTAGAGATGGGGAGAGAATGACAGGCAGAGGGAATAGTGTGCCCGAAGCCCCAGAGGAAGAGAATGAAGAGTGCTTGAAGAGTACAAAGAAGTTCATTGCTTCCTGGCAGAGAGGGAGCATGGCGGGAGCAGTGATGTCACTGAGCGGGGGGGAGCATGGTGGGAGCAGTGATGTCTCTGAGCAAAAAGGGGGCCATGGCGGGAGCAGTGATGTCACTGAGCGGGGGGGAGCATGGTGGGAGCAGTGATGTCTCTGAGCAAAAAGGGGGCCATGGCGGGAGCAGTGATGTCACTGAGCGGGTAAGGGCATGGTGGGAGCACATAAGTTTGAGAGGCAAATGGCCTGGAGAGCCATGCTATGAATTTCAGCCTTGGACAGCCAGGCCGTCTCCTATCCTCTTCCTGAAGACTTCTCCCTCCCTCTCTACATGATGAGGGGCTCAGCTTGGCCCTCAAATAGGTAGCGTCTTCCCTAAGGAACTGAATCAAAGAATGGCTATGAAAGACTACCATGGCTTCCCATGGCCCTTAGGAAAACAATCATCTTATGAAAGCCCACATGGTCCCAAATCATCCGTCCTTCCTCCACCCCCCTCCCTGACCCGAGTGATTGTTCAATTTTTAGACTAGTTACAAAGACTTGAGCATAAGGAACTAAAGTTAAGTTAGGAGAGTAGAGGGAAATGGTTAGTTGATGAGTCCACCATTAAACTTTGTTACCAGTTTTTAATCTGTACATTTATAAATACTTTAATTATACAAGGAATACTTGAATAGATTCTTTCTATAAAAGTCCAAATGAAGATAAGTTAGTTAAAAAGAATTATTCCTCTCCCCATCCCTACCTCTCTACCCAGAGAGGACTATTGTTGGTTTGGACAACTAACTGGTTGGCTGGTAGCTTTCCAGTCATTCTTCTGTGTATTTGGATGAGACTAGTGTATACATACTAATCCGTTATTTGCCTTTTTGTTTTTTTTAACTTTTAACAGTATACCCTAAAGATCTTTCCATTTTGGCACATATGGACCTACCTTAGTGTTTCTAAATTGTAATATTAAATGATGTTGGTATACTATATTTACTCCCCACTTGATGGACATTTAGGTTGTTTCCAGTTCTTCATTGTTACAAACAGTGCTATAATGAACATCCAGTATATACTTTGTGAATAGAAGTCAGTATTGTATAGAAGTGGAATTACCATGTCAAAGGTTACATTTATTTTATATTTTGCTCATGTCTTTTTATAGTACTGTCTTCTGTGATAAATATGTAACTTTTATAACTGCTTCAAAAAATTTTCGCAGTTAATTTTTGTTTCTTTTTAAGAAGAGATTTTAAGAAGAGTCTCTGAAAAAAATCTCCTCTTCATCAAAATGGACTCTGCTTTGTGAGGTGGTTGAACGTGGTTTGCTTGATTTTGTTGAGGAAGTACCTACCCTTCTGTCTCTTGTTGTTAACATTATAGGTTTAGCTGGAGAACATAAATTTAAGCACATGCATACAAGCACACGAACGTTTACTCATTCTTGCCCCTTCCTTTAATAATTAATGGAAATGGCCAGAAAAGAACCCAGGTTTCTGCCATGGCAGCGGGCTTAAGTCAGCCTGTAAATACCTTATTTTGTGATGAGCCATCCCCAGTACTAGGCTCCAGGCATTCAGCATCCAGACCACACCATCATCTTTTATTTTTTTTTTTTAAAGATTTTATTTATTTATTTGAGACAGAGAGAATGAGAGAGAGAGAGCACATGAGAGGGGGGAGGGTCAGAGGCAGAAGCAGGCTCCCTGCCGAGCAGGGAGCCCGATGCAGGACTCGATCCCGGGACTCCAGGATCATGACCTGAGCTGAAGGCAGTCGCTTTACCAACTGAGCCACCCAGGCGCCCCACACCATCATCTTTTTTTTTTTTTAAAGATTTATTTATTTATTTATTTGAGACAGAGAGAATGAGAGAGAGAGAGCACATGAGAGGGGGGAGGGTCAGAGGCAGAAGCAGGCTCCCTGCCGAGCAGGGAGCCCGATGCAGGACTCGATCCCGGGACTCCAGGATCATGACCTGAGCCGAAGGCAGTCGCTTAACCAACTGAGCCACCCAGGCGCCCCATCATCTTTTAAACATAAACGTTGCCCTTTGAAATGTCAAATGCTTCTGAACCCAATACCTGGTGGGAGGCGCATGGGCTGGAGTGGGAAAAAGAGAGAGGGGAACTCAAAAAGGCTTTAGGCGTCTGTCAAAGAGGAGCCCTCCTCCACAGCCTCACAAAGAAAAGCACCTTGGAGAACAGGCTACAGTGTTTGGTGGCCATTGCCATAGACCAAGTCCACAATTGACCATCATGGGGGCTGACTCTTCTTTCCAGTGCTCCATCTTTCTGCATAATTGCTAATTAATTCAGGGCATCAACCAATTAGACCCCAGCAAAATGGCAGTATGAATGACCTTTTCCCTCTTCTCTCTGACTTTGCTCCCCCATTCTGGGCACTGCCCAATTGTAGAACTTCCTTCGTTGCCAAAATAACAAGACCAACTACAATTTGGTGTGTGAGACGCTGCAGTTCCTGGACTGTATTTGTGGAAGCACTACTGGAGGTCTTGGTCTTCTCGGGCTCTATATAAATGAAAAGAATGTAGCCCTCATCAACCAAACCCTGGAAAGTCTGACTGAATACTGTCAAGGACCATGCCATGAGAACCAGGTACTTCCATTTTTATTTGTGGGTAGGAAGAAAAGGAAGTTCATCATTTGGGAAATGCTGTTGACAGGAACTAGTTCAGAAGTCACAAAACATGTGCCTGTTGGCCTAGGACGTCACTAGAACTAGAGGTCTTTTTTCCAGCAGTCAAGGAGCTATGGCACTTTATCATGCTTCAGGACTTGACCTAATCATAGGCATAGGCAGGCTTGTCCTTGGTTTCCATGCGTGGCGTGGCATGTCTTGGCTTGATTTGGTTTAAATGTCCAAATTTGACTAACCTGATTAGGGGTAGATAATAAAGTTGGAGTTCAGTGAAGACCAGAAGACGGGGCTCAATTTTAAATGCTAGGAAAGACTCAAACAGTGGCTACTTAACAGGGAAAGGTTTAAACCTAGTTAGAGAGAGAAACCTTGCTACCCACAAGACAGCTTGAACAACATGAGGAAATGTTCAGTTGAGATTTTAACACCACAGACATTCAGAGAAAAGAAAGGCCCATTAGTCTTGACATTGGCCTCTCAAGAAGTAGATTTTTAGAGGGTAATCCAACCATTTCTTAAGTAGAACATTCATTGCTTATCCGTGGCGTATTACAGACTTTGTGAGTTTTTGCATTGATACTAGGATGATTATGATTTTAAACTCGAATTTTGGCTCTATCCTGGCTGAAGGGGGTAGACTACCACTGAAATTGTCAGTTCTAAACTCACTTGACAGGGAAGGTGTGATATGCTGTGTTACTTGGGGAGCAAGGCCACGACCTTCACTCAGGGGAGAAGAATGGCTGACAAAAGGGACAATTCATTGTGTATCAAACACCTGGTCATAGTTGGCTATAAATATGAGGTTAGCATGTGTTGGATCCACTTTCCTCCCTTGGTTCACTGATAAGACAGATGGTGTAATCAAAGTTAAAGTGAAAAGGAACAAAAAAATTACAATAGGCTGGGGGGAAAAGGCTTTATTTAACATCTAAGTGAATTTCCTTATAACCTCAAGTTTACTTTTCTGCCAAAGAGGTCGTTAAAAGGCATATACTGGAGTGGATTCTGCTGCAAGTGGGGACCTTACCTGGAGGAAGATGATTAATTTTGGTATCGTGTGAATTAAACAGGAAACTTGCTTTCCAGGCTTAAGCCTTAAGCAAAAGTATGCAATACGAAAACCAAGTGATGTAGAGAGAATGGAACACATCTTTAAAGGGGAAAACAGGTCTCAGAACTCAGAATCAGTCACACACCGTATTTTCCCTTAAGAACAAAAGCCAACTTTACTGCGCTATTTGGATTAGACATGACCAATTTATCAGTTACAGTGCATGGGGACTTTCCTGCTGTTTACTGTTAATTCTGAAACTAGCGATTTTCATCTGTCTTTTATTTTTTTACCACTTTCTCACGGAAAATTTGCAGCTCTCCCCTAGAGACATTACTGGGAGTGGCAAGCATTGTGTTCAAATAGCAGTTCAGCCTGTTGGCTTTTGACATCAGATTTATGACCAGCATTTGTGTAAATGTCTGTGTGTGTGTGTGTGTGTGTGTGTGTTTCCTCAGAACTGCATAGCCACCCATGAATCCAATGGCATTGACATCATCACAGCCCTGATCCTTAATGACATCAATCCTTTGGGAAAGAAGAGGATGGACCTTGTATTAGAACTGAAGGCAAGTAGGAATTGAAAGCAAAAGACAGACAGTAGCATGTGAAAATAGTCACTTTTGTGTTTTGCTTCTGCACGTGATACGGTCAATGTTATGAAACTAAATACGGCAGCTCTTTTAGACTAAATGAATGATCTATGTTGTAAGTTCTGACTAAAATGCAAAACTTCAGTCTTCCCCTCCAAATAAGGGTCTTAGGACAGGATGCCACTTCTGATGTTGATTTCTTAAGCATACCCCACCAAAAGAAAACCCTCATTTGTATTTAGGAGTTCCAAAGATTCTTTGAAAGTCCAAAGACCTTGGGTGTCCAAAGTATTTCAGACTGTGTTAGCCTCACTGAGCACATTTCCTTTTTAACTGTTCCCATGTCAGGGCATGTTGAGATCCGTCCTCTCTCTCACACCCATACACAGCAGTGAGCACTTTGTCATTGTCACAGAATTGCCTAGAACTGCAGGGTTTAGCTGAAAAGCTAATCTATGTTTATTGCATAAACAGTGTCATAGGAAAAAAAGGTCATTAGAGAAGGTGTTAACACAGAAGCCCACAGGAATTGCACAATTATTTTTATTTTTCCTTTAGTATTTAGAATGGAGAGTCCAAATTGATAGTTGATTTGGGGGTATGACTTAAATGGATTTTTTGGGTGGGTGTGCTATTTTTAACTCCTTTGACAAGTTGTGTTGTAGAATTGACTTGAACATTAATTCAAGCTCATGTGCCCGGCTCCCATTTATCAGAATGTCCATGACGAGAGCCTGAAATGAACAGAATTTTATGTGCTACTGATCAGCCTTCCAGTGACTTTTTCAACTAATCCAGTAATCTGTGGATTATGATAGAAATTTGTGTGCTCTGAAAGGCCACTATTTGATCGCACAGAATCCTGATTGAATTGCTGTGACCCATACTTGGGAAGGAAAAAAATACTTCCCCCCTCTTATGAAAAATAGCAAGAACTTTCCAGTCCTATACACAAAGAAGCATACAGGTTATCCTAGGCCCAGGACCTAAAATGAAGACAAGCCAAGAAGTGCAGGGTGTGGGCACATGAAAACTTTGAATGAAATGGGAAATTAGGGTTTGGCACGCATACAGTGCTCCTCTGGGTCACCTCTGTTAACTGGTGTCAGCTGTATTCTCATTATAATGTTAGGGGTTATGAGAGCTGATAGTAATATTTTAAGAAAGAGAGGAATTACCTTAATTGCCTATCTTCTCTGCCCTGCAAGCCTGAATGACAAGGTTTAAAGCCACACCTGCCCTGAAGGCATCATGGGTCCATATAGCAGGTTCTTCCCCAACTACTGGCATCATGAGAGTGCCAACACACCCATAAACGCCCATGTTTAAATTCCCAATTCCCACTAGGACTTGTGTCAAGTAACATTAGGGAGAAGCTATGCCCAAACAAACATGTTCCTCTGAGACTCAAAGCAGAATCTGCAGTTACAGTTGGGGTCTGCAGTGGCCCGTTCTCTGTCACGTGCAGGTGGGTTTTGCTGTGCTAGAACCGTGGTTCTCCCGTGGGGGGAGATGTCTGTCTGTTCGGCCAGGCTGCAGCGCTTGCCTCAACTGGGCACACGCATTCAGGCCAGCCACCCCAGGCTGCTCCTCTTCACGGTCTCCTCCCTTTGTTTGTCCCAATTAGAACAACGCTTCCAAGTTGCTGCTGGCCATCATGGAGAGCAGGCACGACAGCGAGAACGCAGAGAGGATCCTTTATAACATGAGGCCGAAGGAACTGGTGAGTTGGGTGGCTGATCCCCTGGCCATGACACGAAGCACAGTCAGAGCAGGGTTTGTGGCAGAGAGGGAACCTGCTGCCTTGAGTTTTCTTAAAGATGCCAAAGAATCAGCAGTAAGAACATCGGATTCAGGCCCCTGACCAGGCTGGAGAAATGAGGTAGTGCTGCGAGTGAGTGGGGTCTGCCCTCTCCCCGAGGCACAGCCACAGACGGCAGCCGCCCTCACCTCTCGTTTCCCCTCCTGGGAGTTGGAGCAGCGAGTGGGCTGGGGGCCTGGCAGCCTGGAGTTCAAGTCCACAGCTCTCCCTTTCGGCCCTGTCACCTTGGGTGGGCACTTGACCGCTCTGAGCCACAGTTTCCTCATCCCTAAAAGGAAGATGATAATATCCTGTAGGCCAGAGGGTGGCTTTGGAGACGAGACCAGACAGTTGGCATCAGGCCCCTAGCACAGCGCCCTCCCTGAAATGTAGCTCCTTCCTTCCCCTTCCTCATTCACTGCAGCTCTTCATGCTCTGTCTGCGTCCAGAGCTAAAGAATCCCCATCTCTTCCAGAGGCCAATAGTCAGGGTGACAGTGTTTCTTGGGTGCCAATGTCTTGGGTTTTGTTTTTGTTTTTTTGTTTTTTTTTCAGAGAAAACACAAATATTGTTTATTTTTGCAGAGTGATATTCACAATGGGCTGTGACTTTCAGGGTGGAGGTTAGTGCTGCAACCTGTGAGACAGGCAGCTCTCAGAGACAGTGAAATGAGCTGAGGACAGAACTCTGTTGGGACTTTTTCCCACACAAATAAACTGTAACTGACAGCACTAAATGAGGGCACTAAAACTTTTCTGTCGCCTCGTGACCTGTGTGCGCTGGGGGCCAGGCTAAAGTCCCTTCATGTATTCCTTGAAATAAAGTTAACAGTGAGCCCAGCTCTTTGATCTCTGAGGTCAGGAGTGAGTTCTCAGCCTGAGATGGACTCCCTCTCTGAGTTTACATCATAGCTTATGTAACTGGGGGAGGGGGGCTCGAGGTGTCCCTCGCGAGTAGGAACAGAATGACTTCACAGAGACCCCATTCCAACTCTCATGGACCCATGGACCAACAATATGCCCCCATCTTGGTGGGGGGAGGGCGGTTAATGTCAGCACCCAGGGCCATGGGCACCACAGGCTTCTGGGTGGCCCCCTTGTGGTTGGAGAACAGCATTCCCAGCTCACGGGAAGAGTCAGAGGCTTCCTGGAACAAACATGGTTCTAAGAATCCACATAGAAGAGAAGCACTCATGTCTAGGACACATCTGCACATATGTGTGTGCATATGCATGTGCACATATATGTATATTCTGGCCCCCACAGCCCATGCAACATGTTGTCTATTCAGTTTGGTATCAGAACTAACAGGAAATCCAGCTCAGAGATCAAAAATCTCGAGGATCTTTTCTCCAAAATTACTTTCAGGGCCAGACCCAATGTCAGCACAGAAATGTGTGGCCCTCTGCATGCTTGCTCTGGGATAATGAAAAATAACTCCGAGGAATAGCCTTGTGGCAATGCAGGAGGCTGAGATGCCCTCTGAATCATCAAAGAAAATGATTAATTTTCCCTTCAACTTAGGGTTTTCCCTTCAACTTAGGGTTTGTTCTTATTCTTTGAATGATTAAATCTCGAGTGATTTGTTCATGTGATAAACATTGGCCAGGCCCGACTTTGTCCAAGGCATTGTGCTGGGCACTGGGCAAAGATTGAGAAATGAGCAGACCTAGCCCCCAGGCCCTGAGTAGGGCACCGAGGTAGGTGGGAACAGTAAGACAGGTACAGAAATGCTCTAGGAAATGTGCTTGCAGCATGAAAAAAAGCAACATGCATGGGTCCTCTGGTAGCAGATTCGAGATCAAATCTCAGCTCACTAGCTGTATCATTTTAGGAATGCCCCTTTACTTCTCTGAGTCTGTTTCCTCATCCATAGTAAATGATAATCTTTGACATTTCATAAAATGTTTATAAGCATTAAATTTCCCCAAATAAAAAAATGTTAAAATACTTAACACAGTGCTTGGCACAAAGAAAGACCTCAGTAGATGTTGTTAATGGTGTTATTTTTACATGGAGTGGGGACGGAGAAATGTCCGGCTTCTAGTCTACATTTTCCTGTTTTATTGTTTCCAGGAACTTTTATAACCATTGTCCCCTCCTAAGGGGAAAGAATAGCTCTTGGTCCGGCTTACAGCAAATGGGTTTCATTTCTCATGCTGGTGGAAGCTGATTGGTAGGGACTGCCTGTGGCAGTGTTGAGAAGAATTCTGAGGCTGGGTCCATAACCTGATAGGAAAGAATGCTGAGCTTCCTGGGCGCCGTCTGCCCCAGGAGGGGAGACTGGAGATGCCAGTCCCAGGCGGGTCTTCCTTAAAACAGGAGCTGTATTTGCTTGACCGTTCTTGCAGGTGGAAGTGATCAAGAAAGCCTACATGCAAGGTGAGGTGGAATTTGAGGATGGGGAAAATGGCGAGGACGGAGCTGCCTCCCCCAGGAACGTGGGGCACAACATCTACATATTGGCTCATCAGGTATGACCTCTCCCTAGGTCCTGGCACTGGATGTTGCTGGCCTTCAGTGCCAGAATTCCAAGGTGAATGTGTGCTTAAACTTGCTTTTCCTTTAAGGTTTTAACCTCGGGCTGTGTGTATTCACGATAATGTGGCTCCCAGGTACTCGTGGCAGCCTGACCCAGTGTGCTGAGTTCCAGGACTCTTCCGTTTTCCCATGGTAGCGTCATGTCCTTGGAAATCCCCACGTTGCTTAAAAGCCTTCGTACTGAGCCTTGACACTTCGATGGTTTATGGCTGTGTTTGGAGACAGTTGAAAGGAGTCTGAGGCTCTTCATAAATATTGATGAGTCTATCTTAACAATCTGAAGAAATAAACCTCAGCTGCCTTGCCTATCACATTTAGAAATCTTGGGGAACTAACTTATCATTATGACTTCTTTTTGTTTGCTTTTCGGGGGGTGTAGTAATACTTCCTACCTTGGCACCAAAATGCCCTGTTTCATAATTCTTTTCCCAAGTGGCTGGGCTTTTGAAGATACTTTCTTTTTCTGGAGGTTGATGTGCCTTGAGCTTGCTGATGTGTGTGGGCAGCTTGTAACTCTGCTGCAGGCTTGTGCTTCCTGTCCCTTTCACCTCGCTGAGGTGCAGGAATTAGGGATAAAGCAGCGACGGTACTGGGCAGGAGGTTGGTATGCCCTGCTACAGCGTGCTGGCGGAGGAATAAAAAACAGGCTCCTGCCCTTCATCTCTTCCATTGCCCATGTTTAGCCACTGAGAGGGTTTGGGAACATTCTGAATGGAGACTCCATGTGGCTGTACAGAAAACCCCATCTCCCTCCTGCCTGGCTAAAGAAATCGGGGGAAAGACGGACCTCACGTGGGCCTAAGCTTTCCAGGCTGTTCTGCCAAGCTCCCAAAATAGCTGCTTGAGCAGAGCACACCTTGATGGAATGCAGCGAGCCTCCTGCCACCTTTGCCCTTCAGCTTGCCGCTGGTTAGGATGCATTCTTTATACCCCAGGCTGGAAAGGAGCACATATGTACGTGCCTGTCGCAAAGAGACAATGACTCCCATGTTTTCTATATTTGTGTTCTAGTTGGCTCGGCATAACAAAGAACTTCAGACCATGCTGAAACCCGGAGGCCAAGTGGATGGGGATGAAGCTCTGGAGTTTTATGCCAAGCACACGGCCCAGATAGAGGTAAAAGCAGGGGGAACTCAGGGCGCCGGCCTGTGGTGAGGGCCTATAGAGGGTTCTGCCCTGTGCTGGGGCAGGCACACAGTCATTCGTCTGAGCAACAGCATGTTGCTTATGAATCCTGACAAGGCCATGGGGACAAGTAGAAGGTGTTCTAAGAAAGTCTAGCAGAGGCACCTGCTGGAGACTGGAGGTCACAGAGGCCTGTTCTGAAGAATGACGTCCAAGCACAGACCTTCGGAAAATTCGGAATGGAACAGGCAGATCCTAGAGGGAAGAGCTTTGCAGACATGGGGAGTGACAAGTGGAGACCCTGAGGAAGGAGATGCTAGGTGAGGGTAAGGAGCTGGAATTCAGTGAGCAGCAGGGAGGGCAGCACAGGCAGCCCCGGGTCCTACAGAATCCCGTCTGCCATCCTTGCAAGAAGTCCAGATTTACCGGGAGAGCCATGTGGAACCTTGGGAGAGGCTTACACAGGAGTGGTGCCGTCAGATCTGCATTAAACACACATACACACAGCATACTTTATTCATCCTCTGTTAGCAGATGGGGAGACGCTGAGAGAAGACTCAGAGAGGGTGTGTCATTAGCCCAGCTAGCAGGGCCAGAGCTGGGATTGTGTGTAACGCAGGACTGGCTGACCCCAGAGCCCCTGGGTGCATTTTGTTACCTGCGTTGAACACAGACTTCTGTCTCCAGGCTCTGGGTGTGAGGGATGGTGTGCCTTGTTTAGCTAAGGAGGAAGTGCACAAATTCAATATAATGTCGGAACAAAGATTTTGAAGGGCTAACAGACTCCTTTGGGCCATATGAAATGTTCAGGATGGAGACTTTTTAGGAATATATTCTTACCTGATGTCTCAAGTGTGTCCGGGCTGTCTTAATAAAATTCATCACCTTACTGATGAGTTGACCAAGGCAGTGCATGTGGGCAAATACCCTTGATTTATTGTTAATGATGAGAAGCTTGATGGCAGGGCCAGCTCTGTCCTATGGGGCCCTTCAAAGACAAGCTTTAGGTGTTTGCAACATAGAATGTCAGAGCTCCTTCATCCACTGGAGAGAAGACTGAAGCTTGCTCAGGTTAAGAGGTATGAACAAGGTTACCCAGCCTGTTAGAGGTGGGGAAGGATTGGAATGTAACCTCCTGACTCCCAGTTGTAAGTATCATGAAAAGGAGGTGTGGACAGATACTGAATGATGGAGAGACATGGCCGGGCATGCTGTTCCTAGCTCTCAAATCCTGCCCTTGGCTAACCACCCATTTCTTCCACTTTCCTGAGGGAGTTACCTGTGCAAAGCCAGAGAATACCCGGTTACTCCCTGCGGCTTTCTACAGAGTGCCTTTGGCTCTTGGGAGTTAGGCTGTCTAGCCCTGGAGTCTGGGACTCAGTTCTTGCCAGGAAGCCTCCCTTTCCCTCTAGATTCCAGAAACACGTCTCACATCATATCTCTTCACCTTAGGGAGATCCAGGGCCCACCTGACTGTGCAAAGCAGGCAGGCTCTTGCCAGCAGGAGACTGCGGAGTTGGTCCCTGAGCCTGTCTGAACAGCAGTGTCACTTGGGGGGAGCTGGTTCATGTGCAGGCTCCTGTCACCAACCCCCCACCACAATTCCAGTTAAATGAGGCTGACTGAAGGACCAGAATCAGTATGACAGTGAAGCTTCCTGTAACCTGATCTCCAGCTAGATTTGGGAACCACTGGTCTAAAGACCACGTCTCCCAGAATTTATAGACGTAGGGGTATGGGAACCTGTCACACATCTGAGAGAGCTTCCCACTACAACTTGACCAGAGTCACCTTTCTTGCTGTGTCAGGGAACAAAAGTGTTGAGAGTGTGAGAACTAGATCTTCTTGAAGAGGGCGTAGGCCCTGAGCCTCATCTGACTTCTCCAGCCTCTGGGTAGGAAGGATAAAGAGAGGTCATGCCCCCGTTCTACTGTCACCTGCACCCCTTTTGAAATCCCTACCCCCCCAGGATGGTGACTAAGTACAGTGTCCTAGAACCTGAACAATCCTCACCAGACTGCCTCCTCTCTGGAGATTGAGCCACTCTAGAAAGAACACGGAGAAAACCTGTGAGGTGTCCACTCTGGAGCCCAACAGAGCTGCTTCAAAGAGCACTGAGGACAACACCAGTGTTAAATGAATGGCTGGACCAGTTCACACACTGTATACTTTAGATGCCATGACAAGTAAGAGATAGGAGGACAATGCCACTGGATAAACCACAGGTCTCTCTTTAAAGTTCCTACTTAGGAAAGAACAACAACAACTAATTTTGCTATCAGAAGTTTAGGTGCGGTCTGTCCCACAGTCTGGTATTGCACCATCCAGTATGATAGTCATTAGCCACATAGGGCTGTTTAAATTAAAATTGAATATTCAGGGGGTCAGTTGCACTAGCCATGTGGGGTAGATGCTCAGATACGGAACCATTCCTTCATTACAGAAAGTTCTGTTGGACAGCCCTAGCCCCCTCATCTGAAACACAGTTTAAATTGTTGAGACAAAAGTTAGTCACAGTAAAATTAATGGGTCTCAGGTTAAAACAAAACAAAACAACCAACTCTTAGAGACTTGCCCAAACTGTTTTCTATATAAATGCAAGAGACACGGCCCAGGCTGGGGGTTATAAGATCTGAGAAGACGCAAGAACAGGTTTGTATTATACGCCGTCGTGAACACCAAGCCCATGACCTTAGCAAAGATTCTTAGTGAAAGGTTTTTGAAAATGACTGTTTGAGCTCCTCCATTTTCTCACCCTAGATTGTCAGATTGGACCGAACCATGGAACAGATTGTGTTCCCTGTGCCCAGCATATGTGAATTCCTAACCAAGGAGTCGAAACTGAGAATATACTACACTACAGAGAGGGATGAGCAAGGCAGCAAGATCAATGACTTCTTCCTGCGATCTGAGGACCTCTTCAATGAAATGAACTGGCAGAAGAAACTGAGAGGTGGGTCAGCGATGCGCCCACGGGATGGCAGGGCTATGCCATCCCGGGCTTTCACGAGCCCGGGCTGGATGGTGAAGGGCGTGTCTCCAAGCAGGAGCAGAGCTAGCCTAATTTATGGCACTTTCTACCTCTGAGCACCGGGCAGATCTAGACACCTTTGTAGCTGAGAAACGGGCTTCAGCCTCAGGGAGGCACCTCCCCAGAAAAGTCTTCCTTCATGCCCCATCTGATTGGATTGGATTGGCTATGCAAGACTTTCAGAATGTCCTTTTTTGGTATCTTGATGTAGGAAATAAAAGGAAGGGAGAAAAGACCAGGCTTTGAGCTCACAGGATGGTGCACTTAAGCAGGAAATTGAGCCAGCTTGACTGCTCATTTACTAGCTCACCTGCTCTGAAGACACCAGTCTCTCCCTTTTATATAGGGTAGCTCGGTTTTTAGACTCTAGTATCATTTTATAGGCAGTGGAATCATTTGCCACATAAGACGCATCGTTGCTCACCAGCGAGTCCCGTTGCGATACCTGGCCAGTCGGGTTGAAATGACTCGTCTAAAACACTTTTATAGGGCTATCCCAGAGGGCTTGTCAGCTCCTGGTTTTCATTAGGATTTTAATGGGATCCTTCAGTACTGACAGTACACTCCTTATCAACTGTTGTGACCAACGTAGAAAGGATCGTGCTTTATTTCTGTCTGTTGGTCAGGAGCCAGGTTTTTTCTTTGAAACCCCAGATTCCAGCTACAGTTGTGATCTTTTGGGCTCTTTCTGCAGGGCAGGGCGGCGGGAGGGGAAGCTGTGTTAGAGATCACTTTCTGGGAGCTTCTGTCCTCTTCCTTCCTCCCACCAACCCGAGGCAGAACAGACCAGCGTTCTTCACTGCACCCTTCTTCCACCTCACCACTCTTCTCCCTACCTCCCTGCACCCCTGTGTTTGGCTGGTGGCAAAGAGGGTTGTACGTGCACATTGGCCAGGGGCCCCTGTTCTTACCACACCCCAACCCCACAACATTCTTGCTCATCTCTAAGGGCTACTTCGTCATCCAGCACTTTAAAACATTAGATGTTTTCGGGATACCTGGGTGGCTCAGTCAGTTAAGTGTCTGCCTACGGCTCAGGTCATGATCCTGGAGTCCTGGGATGGAGTCCCGCGTCGGGCTCCCTACTCAGCAGAGAGCCTGCTTCTCCCTCTGCCGCTCTCCTTGCTTGTGCTCGCTCGCTCTCTTTCTCTCTCTCTCTGACAAATAAATAAATAAAAATTTTAAAACAGTAGATGTTTCCTGGGGGCCACCTGGCTGCCTCAATAGCTAGAGCTTATGACTCTTGATGTCGGGGTCATGAGTTCAAGCCCCATGTTGAGTGTAGAGATTACTTAAAAATAAAATCATGAAAAGAAAATGTTTCTGGAGCCAAAACCCACTCCTCACCCAGCCAGGTGTCTGACAGAGAGAGGGGCTCAGAGGCCTTTAGCAGAACAGCTTGCATGTCCTCGTTGGTAGGGATCCCGGGGGATTTAGGGTGCACTTCTAGCCAATACAGTGTGTCCTTGTGGCCTACTGTAGACTTGATGCAAGCTCCTCCAGTTCAAGTGTGAGTGGCTTGAACATCTGCATAGCACAATGCTCAGGTGAACAGAGAAAGAAAAAATACCAGAAATAAGGTGGACATAGACCGCATCTATTCTGTACTCTCATATTTTCAGCCGTTAGGTTTGCTGGGGTCATCTGTGATTCCAGCTTCCGGGGGTGATCCTGAGTTCACGTATCCAGGCCTCCACAGTGGTCACTACAACTGGGATTTCACTCTTGTCAGTGTGTGGGTCTACTAAGACTGGTCAGAGAGATTCATCCTCACAATTCTGAGAGCCTATAAATAATAGATCAATATTGTATAGGATCTCCAAGAGGCTTATGAACTGACAGGGGGGCTTTCAGCTCTTCTGCTCAGGCGAGATACCTTGCAATCTCTCCTTCTGGGATGTTGTCTTCAGCCAGGCACAATGGGAAGCCCTCAGCCCCAAGAGGTGGGGGATCTCACTCCCATTCCACTTCTGCCCCCACGGGCTGTGTGGCCCTGAGCAGGTGACTTCACTGCTCCCAGACCCTCACCTAGAAAGCGGGGAGTTGAGATTGATTGCTTGCCGAATGGCCACATCGTCATTCCAAGATTTATATTGCATTGTAGCTAATACCTTCTCTTATTTAGCCCACCTTTGTTTCAGAAACAGTTTTTGTTTCAGTAAAGCTTAAACACAGCTATAGTTATCAACTGAAAGATTTTAATTGGCTTCAAAGCTATCTGCTGGTAAGAGAGAAATTGAAAACAGTAACTGAATTAAACATGATATGCATATTTAGGGAGGGGAGAAATGTACTCATTAGAAGTGTAATTAAAATAAAATACGTTTTCCCTTCTAAGTAGCATATTTCTCTTCTAATAAATCTGCAACGGAAAAAAAAATTCTGCTTTATTCATAAGCTGCTTTCCCCTTTCCTAAAAGTATCACAGAATCACCTGGGCTTTGGTACATCTGTAGCCAGGACTCAGATATAAAGCCAAGTCTGTCTAAGACTGAGGTCACTCAGTAATTGCTTCTGCAGGTATTAAGATAGTCAGTTCCTAAGCTCTCCCGAAGCCTTATTCCCTGCTCCTCTCACAGAACACACGCACACACAGGCACGCACACATGCACACCCCCTTCAGCGCGCTCACGTCCTCTCTCACCCGTGCCTTTCTGACCCCTTCTCCTGAAGTTCCCAGCCGCAGTGAAGTGAAAACCCAGGGCTAAGAAAATGAGAAGATAGTGAAAGAGGAAATTGAGGCAGAGTTGCATATGCTGACCTTTTCCTGCTTGGGGTTTTCCCTCATGGTTATCACACCCATCCAAATAGAGCTGGGAAATTCTGTTTTTTATATTCATAGAGTCCAGGTCCCCCAGCAAGGCCCAATTCCCTCAGAAGAACAGATACAAAGGCTAGGAAAGAAGGTTACCAAGTGGTGCTCTGGGATGTAGGTCATTAGATTGACCTGCCTCACTGGGGTCACAGCACCCTGTCTTTTTCTGTGATGTAGCAGGTGTATCGATCCAGCCAACTTGTACCCCAAATAAGTAGAAAACATACAAAGTACAGTGGGGGGGTTCAACATTGTGTAAGCTATGATTCCTTCCTGTGTGAACCTACCATCTTATTGGGGCAGGCAACACAGGATATTTTTAAGTGGTTGTAATTGAGGCAACTAACGATGAGCAGAGCTGTAATTAAGCAGTGACACGCTGTAGAAGTGTGGGAAAGACAAGCTTCTGAGAAAAGGTGGCATCTGAACAGCATCTGGAAGGATAGATAGAACTTGGATAAACATACACCTGAGAGTTTGGAGAAAGGGAAGGCGTATTCATTTCCTATTGCTACTCTAACAAATTACCACAAACTTGGAGGCTTACAGCAGCATACATCTACTATCTTAAAGATTCTGGAGGTCAGAAATGTACAAAGGTTCTCACTGGGCTAAAATCAAGGTGTTGGCAGGACTGCCCGCCTACTGGAGGCTCTAGCTTTGTTTTCCAGCTTCTAGGGGCTTCCTGCATTCGTTGGCTCTTGGCTTCTTCCTCCATCTGCAAAGCCAGCCATGACCAGGAGAGCCTTTCTCATGCCGTAGCACTCTGCCCCTGCCACTCCCACACCCGTCCTTCACTTTTAATCATTTTTAATCACTTTTTGTGATTATGTTGGGCCCACTGAATAATTCAGGATAATTTCCCCATCTCCAGATCCTTAACTAGATCTGTGTTATATTGCTGTATAATAAATGACCTCAAAACTTAGTGGCTTCAAACAGTAAATATTTATGTCCTCCCAGTTTCTCAGGGCCCAGAGTTTGGGAGTGGCTTAGCTGGGTGGTTCTGACTCAGGGTTTTTCGTGAGGTTGCTATCAAGTTGGCAGCCAGGGCCTCCTCGTCTGAAGGCTGGGTGGACCCAGAGGATCCACTTCTCTGCTCACTCACGTGGCTGCTGGTAGGAGGCCTCACTTCTCCATATGGGCCCCTCTGTAGGGCTGCTTGAGTTCCACATGACGTGGCAGGCGGTTTCCTCAGAGCAGATGACTGAGGAGAGCGTGAGCATGCATGTGCAAGGAGGAAGCTGCAGGGCGTTTTATGACCAAATGTCAAGAAGCACTCCTGTCACTTCTGTCTTCTCCCAGAAGCAGTAACTAAGTCCATCCCACACTCAAGGGGAGGGGGATTGAGCTGTACCCCTCGAAGAGGAGAGCATCAAAGACTTTGTGGACATATTTTTAAACCGCCATGGGGACAGTGCACAGAGGCTGGAGGTGCAGCGTACGATCAGGGAGCCACCACTAGACTGGAATGTAAAGGTGGCCTGTCTGGGGAAGGGAAGTGGGAGAAGAATCTGGAAAGTTAGATGGGGACATGGGAAATAGAAGACCGTGCGTGTCAAGGTTGGTCTTTAAGTATCTTTTTGCCCATGGATAGATACCCAGTTGATTTGAAGGACTGAGTATTTGTTCATCATATTTGGAATGACACAATTTAAGTATGTTAGCTTTATAAATATATGATTTATTTGTGAACTTATGCCATACTTAAGGGCCATTTATTAGAATTAAATGAAAGTGTCCTACAATGGCTACTCTTACATTTGATATTGAGAACCCCCTTGAAGAGAATTTTGGCTTACATAGACCATCACTGAGCTTTGCCATTTCCTGTTTTTCTTTTACCTCATATGAGCTTTTTATATGTACGCTAATGTGGAGAGGATATTATAAATTCCCATGTACCCACCACTCAGCTTCAATCATTACCAACCCTTTGCCATTCTTGCCACCTGTCTCTTCTGGAGTTTCCATATCCAAATCAGACATGGTCTTCAGTCCCGAAGAAACACCAGTAGCTATTGTTTCCAGAACAGATGATTTCTCATCTTAAATTTGTTTCGGCAATTAACTTAAAAAAAAAAAGTTAATTGTTAGTGGAGGTTGACCGAGTGCTGGTCAGCTCCTCTACTGAATGGTGACATGAGCCACTTCCTCTGTCCTTGTCTGACTTGAGAGGATCACTGACCTGGGTGATGAGATCTCCTCCACAGCTTCTCCCCCCAGCTGGGCCTCAGTTTCCCTCATAAAACAAGAGATTTTAAATTAGATGGTGCTTGTAGCTCTAAAACCCTAGACTTTGGAAACGTTTCCTATTTCCAAGTGCAAACATGAAATGAGCAATTATTAAATTACCCAGGGCTCTGTTTAATTGTGCCATAACTTTATTTTGGAAGAAGCTTTCAGAGATTTGGCTGCTTGCTCTAGGCATCATTACAGGGCCATTGAATTTGTCATTGGCTCCTGTCCTAAAGTTAAATGATGACTTCATTGGGAAAGAGAAACGCGCCCTAGAGACCCATTCTCCCATACTCCGTATTCCTTTGGAGGGAGATAATGTGGAATGAGGCTATCTTTTGGAAACTCTGCTTCTGGCATGGAGACTGAAATTATTCCTACCACATCTATTAGCATCATCCTAAGTCTAAGGCATCACTGGAGAAAAACTCGGGGGGAAAGGAAGCACCACCACACATGGTATGGCCAGAGGCTTGTTGTTCTAACACTGAACATGCCTGGCCGGTGTGGTATGGCCTCTAGGCGACTACAGAATCAGATGGCAGCAATATGCAAAATGTCTTTCGCCCTTCAGTGATGGCTTTGGTACCACATCCTTTCTCTACTGTAGCCTTTGGGAATGGGATCTCTACTGCTGACTACCCAGTCAGCAACTCCCTCCCATAGTTCCCCTGCCCCCGGCATGATCATCAGACTTCAGGAAAATGGAAAATGTCTCAGTGTCAGGAAAGGGATCGTTGTCTAGCTTTTAGGCACCAGTGAGTTAGTGGAGGATTTTGAGTGTGGCAATGCTAGCCTCCCTCGTCTGGGGCCCTGCTGGGCCAACTGTAAATGCTCTGTGTCCCTCCAGCTGGAGCCCCACACTTCTAAAAGGCTGATTAAGTTCTTGGGTCTCTCTGGGCATTTCCTCTGGTCCCAGAGCCCTGGAAGGACTGACGATTCAGTGCATGAACTCTGGACAACCCCAGATTCCATAACTGGTGGTGTTGACTGGGGCATGCAGGGTTTTTAGATGTTCCAACTTTTCTCCTTTTCTTCTCTCCCTTGTCCCCGAATGCATCTTCTGTTCCAGTAACTACTCCAAACAGAAATAAACCAATCTGATGTTGTTATGAGCCTATGAGTCAACCTCGAAACAAATGATCATTTTTTACTGTTGTGGTAAAAACTGGGAACAAAAGTGGGCTTGTGGGGCAGAGCGGGAGGAAGGGCCGAGTGGGATTCCCAGCGTTCTGACTTGTGGCTTCGGACTTTACATGGCCTGGTCTTTGTTTTCACAGCCCAGCCCGTTCTGTACTGGTGTGCCCGCAACATGTCTTTCTGGAGCAGCATTTCATTTAACCTGGCTGTCCTGATGAATCTGCTCGTGGCGTTTTTCTACCCATTTAAAGGAGTCCGAGGAGGTACCCATATTTTTAATTTCAAGGAAACTATGAGAAGCAGCAGGAAGGTTATGACTTGCATCTTAAAAATGGTCCCTGGAAGTGTTGGTGCAGTATTATGGGATCCCACTTACCCATTTTCAGACAGGATGAGATTGTAGCTTTCACCGCAGACTTAGTTTTAAATCTCACTTAAAAGAATGTAAATTTTGTGTCCACATTTATCTACCAGGAAAGAAAGAGAAGCCGTACACTCTGAAACCTGTAAGAGATGGTCTCAATCAGCCTCCTTGTTTTATATGTTGGGAAACCTTGTCTCAGAGAAGTTGAAAGGTGGAGCCAAACTTTCACAGCTAGGTAGTGGCAGAGCTAACCCTAGAACATAGATATTTTGATGCTCAGTCCACTAGATTATTTTCCCCATACCGTACTTACAGAATTAATTTCAGAGTGAAGAATTTTTAAGACGTGTCTGGATTTTTTAAATTAATTAATTAATTAATTCTTTTGGCAAGGGGCTCAGGGAGGCTGGACTTGAATGACCGAAGACCGCACCTCCTTGGATATTTAGTCTATAAAGAGCTACGTGCTACTACTCATGCGATAGAACATGATGTCCGTCCGTGGTCGTTATGGATATCCCCCCACCCCCACCGTCTCCTTCCAGCCACCTGCCATGTGCACTCTATACATCTTGCTGAGAACAGGCAACAATCAGCAGGGGCATCTTTTTGTTTGCAGCTCTTCCGTTTGCTTGACAGCCTTCTAGAGTCATGCACACTTGTGGGGCTCTGGGGACCGGCAGAAGCCCCTCTGCTGTGACACTTCCACGGCCCCTTTTCTGACACCCTGGATAGCCTTTTGGGAGGTCTTCTCAGCTACATTTTTCATCAGAGCTATTTGGCAGATCATCTCACATACGTATGTCACAAACCTACCAGTAGCCACCTTTTGTGAAACGTATGGAATAAAGAACCCAAAAGTAAGACACTAAAACAGCGCAGGAGTTGCAGGCTTAGCTCTTGAGCCTAATAATGCAGATGTGTATACGTAATGAGACAGCATGTCTAGACTTAAAGTCTACTTAAGATCCGTTTTGAAAGTGATGACTTGTTCTGTGATGCTCAGGTATCCAACATACCCATTTGAGCAGTCAGCTTTTCTGTTTGGCCTTCAGTTACACTGAAAGCTTCATTTGAGTGATTTTTTTTTACCCCCAAAAGCAACACCTAAACGCAAGTCTGGGGGTATTTTCCTTTTTAATGCCATGTTAGGAAAATAAGTGCCCTTGTGTGAAGAGATTCTGCAGGTCAGCAGAGGTGCGAGTGTGAAGTGGTCTGTCGGAGGGAAAGAGCCCAGCTCTCTTTGCATCTCAGGGAAGCCCTTATGCTCATCATAACCGATTCTTCAACCATTACTTTGGATGTGTTTTCCTTTATCCCCCATTTCTTTAAAAATATTTAAAATCCGTTTTATTACATGCTTTGACCATTTTCTTCACTGGTCACTTGTGGCCACGTTGAGGCCCATGTCTGAGGAGAGGTAGTTGACAGCTCCCCTCCCCTGCAGTGGTCAGCCTCGTCCAGTGGAAAATCTAGACTCACAACATCCAGACTCAGTGTCCGGGCCTGACTCTGCCACATCCTCACACGACTCTGGACGGGCAACTTCAATTAGTCTTCCTTAGCTTCTCTGTAAAAAGGTGCTTAAATTGACCCAGTAGTTGTAAAACCTTGATGTGGATTTGGAAATCCCTGTATAGTTCAGGGAAAAACAGTGATTGACCCAGTCAGGATCTCTGGGGCATCCTATTTCTGGCCCAAACAAGTTCAAGACCCACCGATGAGATGATTGTTAAAGGTTCTTCCAACTCTACAGTGTTGGGTTCTCAATGTGGCATCAACTCTGGCTTCCTGTTCTGGCAGTGTGGGCTGCAGTCTTTCATGTGTGTGGACTAAATGGAAAGTATCATTAGATCTCCCGGAAGGGAAGGAGATTGAGCTGACCTCAGGAAGCCTTTTCCGCTACACAGTGACCGAGCTCACCTCAAACACATCAGTTCACTCTCAGGGATTTATTTTTCCTCCTGTAAGACATGTGGGGACCACCTTCTGTCCTCGCTACTAACCATCTTCAGGACAAGGGTTGTATTAGCCGTGCCTCAAAATAAGATCTGGTTGGTTACCTGAAAGTATTTCTTTGAGATCAGTGTTTGTTCATGTTTGACTCTAAAACCAGGATTTCCAAAATGTCCCCATTGAATGTCCCCCTTTTGATGAGTGCTAATGAGGCTCTGTGGCATCGTAGGCCTGCGGCTGCCCAGAATACTGGTGGCCTTAAAAGCTCCTTTTCCAAAGTATCATTTTCCCCCTTTATTTAAGAACTGATGAGTCACACAGGCTCCAAAAGCATGAAACCTGGGCACATTCAGATTTTTTACTGAATTTGTGAGCATGCTATGATGATTAAAGCAAATATGGTACTCCTTTTAAAACATTATCATTTTTGGAATTTTCAAATATACAAGTAATAAGTTAATATACTGCCACGTATCTATTAGCCCAGCTTTAACAACTACCAACATTTTGTCAATCTTGTTTCATCTATTCTCCTACTGTATTTTCTGAAAGATTTTAAATAAGTCTAGACATCTTGTTGTTTTGCCCATAAATATTTCAGTGTGCATCTCTAACTTCTAAGAATATTTCAAAATATGTATAATTACCATAACATTATCATATCTAACAGAACTAACAGCAAATCATGTAATAGCTTGTCCATATTCATGTTTCTCCAATTGTCTTAAAGATGTCTTTCTATAATTGTTTTTTTTTTAAAAATCTAGCATTATTTTTTTAACACTGCTTTTATAGTGGGGAGACAACAGGTTTTTATTTCGGCCCCTTCGGGATTTGGGTACGTCCACTGTACTGGTCCCATTTATTATACTGAGATCTTGAGGCAGTTTAAGATGGCGATTAAACACTTAAAGAAAATGAAAAGCAAGACACAGACTGGGAGAAAATATTTACAAAACATGTATCTGACAAAAGGCTTATATCCTGAATACATAAAGAACTCTTACAATTCAATAATAAAAAGACAACTTGATTAAAACAGTGGGCAAAAGATGTCATCAGATATTTCACAAGAGATTGGCCAATAAGCACATAAAAAAAGATATTGAACATCAGTAGTTATCAGAGAAATGCAAATGAAAACTAGAATGGCATTCCAGGAGAAACCTACGAGAATGGCTGAAATTGAAAATGCTGAAATACTAAATAAAAATGAGCAAGTAATAAATAAAAAGAAAATACTGACTATACCAAGTATTGGTGATGATGTGGAACAAGTGGAACTCCCACGTATGACTGGATGGCGAAGTCACTCTGAGAGACAGTATGGTTGTGTCGTAGAAAGTTAAACATAGGATCCAGAAATCTTATTTCCATGTATTTGTCCAAGGCAAAGGAAAACATACACCCATTCCAAGATTCGTACTTGAATGTTCCCAGTAACCTTATTTATAATAACCGCAAACTGGGAACAACTCAAATATCCATTAATTGTTGAGTGGATATGTAAATTGTGGTATATCCATACTGTGGAATATTACTCAGCAATAGAAAGGACTACGTATTAATACACAAAATAACCTGACTGAATCTTAAAAATTCACTAAGTGGAAGAATGAAAAAGACTACCTCCTAATCTGATTATGTTTCCACTTTTATGAAATTCTAGAAAGTGCAAAGCTCTAGTGCTAGGAAGGAGACCAGTAGCTGCCTAGAAGTGGGGCTGGCGCAAGGCTGTAACTGCAAAGAGCACAGGAAACCTTTCCGGGGAATAAAAATGTTTATATCTTGATTGTGTTGGCAGTTACATGTGGCTCTATGGCTATATAAACTGCCAAAATTCATCACGTTAAGCTGAAAATCAGCGGATTTTATGTGTTATTTTTTTAAATTGGTGATTAAGGACCATCAACTTCAGAGGCATACAGACTCCAGCCATTTACTATGTCACCTTAGGCCTGATATGTAATCCAAGACTCGGTTTCCTCTAGAGGAAAATGAAGAGAATCGTAAGCTGGTTGGGAGGATCACATAAATGATAATCAATGTAAAGGGCTTAATAGGATATCTAACCACTGTTAAATGCACAAGAAATGACGTAAGTCTCGATATCCACATCTTCCCAAATTTCTGAAAAGCTTCTACCTCTCTGTGCCCATTTCTAATCAGGTTTTCTTTTGAAGGATATCAAAAGGGAAGAGGTAAGTGGTTGGGAGTTGGGCAAGAGTTTCTAGAGAAAAAGTGTCTCAGCGGCATGAACAGAATGAACTAGGGCAGCCAGCAGGCTCGGGGAAGAGCTGTAACTCGCAAGGGTGTCTCTTTCCTGGGTGGGGCTTCAATCCCAGCAGTTCTGGAGAAGTGAAACTCCTTTATATAAGTGGCCTTAATCATGTAGTGCTGCTTGTTTACATCTGAAGGAGACCCAAAATGTGACAGCATTTGAAATAGGGTTTTATTTTTTTTTTAATGAGTGTTTTACAGAACTATATTTTTAGCCATGTTGGCTCATGTTATATAACTAAGCCGTCTCGTGGGACACTCTAAATAGAACTTGAAATAGCAAGAGATGACAAAAACTGGTATAAGCTCTTTGACTACAAGGATAATCTAATTGTAGGATGATGTTAATGATACGGAAGTTGCCTTCCTCCTTCCCTTGAAGAAATCTGATTCAGGCAGGGGACCTGCAATTTTCCTTTGCATACTTTTAATAGAAATTAGAAGTTTAGGCTTCCAGTTTGCCTTCCCGAAGAGTGATATGTGATACATGTATGAGTTTTATTGATTGAACAGATTCATTTGACGAGCATCTATGGGGTGCTGTGTGCTTCCCTCAGGGAATTTGGTTGGGGGGAACCCGATTGGGGGGCAATTAGGGTAGGAGGGGAGAGAAAGACTAGTAAACTGACCACCAGAAAATAGTGTTCTATTGGGATGACTGGAGTAAGTACTGAGAACACAGAGAGGGAGGGGCACCTGGCATAGTTTTCTGAAGAGGAAGGGGTTGGGGAGGTTTTTGGAAGAGTTGACATCTCAGCTAAGACCTAGGATGAATAGGAAAGGGAAAAGAATTTCCCAGGTAGTAGGACCACAGGTCAAGGCTTGGAGGTAAGAAAACATGGATGTGTGACGGATTACATCTGGGGCACAGAACTGGAGGTGAGAGTTTGGACAGTAAGGCCGGTTTGGTGATTGCAGAAACTGTCATTAAGCCCATTTTGGTCCGTCACCTCTTAATCCATGAAAGCACTGATCTTTGAGAACCTCCCCTTGTCTTTCCAGGAACACTGGAGCCACACTGGTCAGGACTGCTGTGGACAGCCATGCTCATCTCTCTGGCCATTGTCATTGCCCTCCCCAAGCCCCATGGCATCCGGGCCTTAATTGCTTCCACAATTCTCCGGTTGATATTTTCGGTTGGATTACAACCCACGTTGTTTCTTCTGGGAGCTTTCAATGTAAGTATAAATACCTTCATAGCCGCGTTCTTGTTGACATGCAAACAGGAATGCCTTCCATTCTGGTTCCTAGGATCTTGGCCTGGGCTTTCAGTGCAGCAAAAGGCCGTTCAGGTCAGCTGTTAAAATAGCAGAAGCAAGAGCTGCGTGGGTGGACATCTCCCTCTTAACCTTCTCACGGTACAGTGAACCTCTTAATCTATTACCTGGGCATCCACAGTCTCCTTTTTAGGGAATTTCCCTCTCAGAAGTAAGGCAGGAAGAGGAAGAGCAGTGGAGATGTAAATTATTGTTCCCAGTCAGGTCAGAGGTTTGGAGGGACAGGAGATTTTAGCCGAATGGCCAAATATTAATGGTATCAGTCAAATGGTCAGATATTAATACAGCACACCCACTTCTGGTGAGGACCACACGGAGCCAGGAGAAGAGGCAGGAGGACTTGTTCAGACAGAGATGGAGCAGGTAGAGAGGTAAGGAGAGAATCGGGGTTATTTCAAAGTCGGTGGTGCCATTTGGAAGTGCTCTTCCACTGTAGTTGAAGGATAGACGCTACCGCACCCGTAGGGGGAATTCTTAGGAAGTAGAGATAGCTGATACAGGACCATAGATTGGAGAGGTTTGCTGGTGAAAGGAAGCAAAAGGTTTGGACATGGGAGGCACTGTGGGGATCGAAAACTGCTTTCTAGAGGTTTCTGCCGTGAGCATATAAGGAAGCTGAGGTTGCTGTATAGAAATGGAAGTCATGTTGCAAAATAAGGTTAATACAGTAATTCAGTGCAGCAGTAAATGTCCCCAGATGGGTATTCAGATGGCAAAGGCAGCAAGGACACTGGGGGAGAAGGGACCACTTCAAGCTGACAAGCCACAGGGGAGGAGGTGGGGTTTCAGCTCTGTCTTGGAGAATGGCTAGGACTGGGCCAGAAAGCAGGAATTGAGAAGAGCATTTTGCTGTAGGCCCCACAGGCCAGAGCAGTGGGGAAGGCCCAGGACACTCTCAAGAGAGAGCCAGCAGGAGCGTTCCCCTCCACTGGGGTTCAGGGAGGGATACGTAGGACCTACTCCCAGCACAGGTCACCAGGGCACTGCATGGTAGGAGAATGCCCTTGGGCCTCATCCTCCAGGTCAGTGTTTCCAAAGCAGGCTCCAAGTTGATAAATCTTAGGTGAGAAAGAGGTTCAGTGGTCCAGTCCATGAGGGAGAGCCTGTGTTAAACAAAATTAAAGGGTTTTTACTCTAGGATTTCTGAGAGACTTTAACGTGCATGATAAGGGTTATGAATCTCCAAGAAATGGAAACCGTGTATCTCTGTTTCCTAAACTTACTTGCCCACATTTTGTTTTAAGTATCACTTGGAATTAGTGTTGTAGAATATAGGTTGGGAAACTCTATTCCCAGTAGTGGGAAATGACTCAAGTTTTTTTGAGCAAAGAAATGGCATATACAAAAAAGTATTCTTGGAAAAATGCCCTCAAGTAGTGGAATGTTATGTGGATTCAAGTGGGAGGGACTGGAGGCAGGAGGACCATTTCAGACCCCCAGCAGAGCTCTTGACTAGGTGTGACAAGCCTGGGTCTTGGTCAGAGTGTGGAAGAAAGAAGAAGGTACAGATGTCAGTGCTGGAAAGGATAGGGTAACGTTTTGTGGGCCTAGAGTCAGAGCCTCTCACCTGAAAGCCATGTAGGGCCTCAGTCGGGGTCCTTTTCTCCAGGCCAACAAGGTATTACTATCTTGATGGGGTGATGAAGGAGGCAACCCCCAACTCCAAATTTTCAGTCACAGATGACTAGGAAAAGAATAATGCAACTAACTAAAGTGGAGTCATGCAAAGACCTAAGTTTCAGGGTGAAAATGCACTTAAATTGTTGATTTACTCAGCTTGAGATGATAAGGCAAGCCATTATTAGCTGTGGCATTTGAAAACGTATGACCAGAGTGACAAAGACTTAGCAGTGTTACAGAAGGGAAGGTAGGTGTCATTCACTGATGTAGGTATCATTAAGAGGAATCTACTTAAGAAGGAAATATAGAATAAACAAAAAAATAAAAGGGAAAAAACTCAGTATTTCAGGGGTTGTTGTCTTATGGGCTGTTTAGTTTTTTGTTGTTGTTGTTGTTTCTCTGGGCTTTAATCATTCCACAGTCATCTCTCCTTTAACATAAATCAGTTGGGGGAAAGACTCAAACTAGGCAATTATCATTTATAGTAACAGCTGGGTGAGGAGAGCTGAAATAACTATAATAAATAACTAGAGTGAATAAAAAAAGGGAAACACTCACATGGAGCACATAGGAGACAAAAGAAAGTAGTTATGGGCAGAGAAGGAGCATTGGGCATACAAGGGCCGGCGAAGCGGGACAGGGTGGTGTCCTGGCAGCCAGGTGCGGGCAGAGTGGTGGGAGGGGTGGGCTGGTGAGCCGTCATGTTGCAGGAGCCAGGATTAGGTGCTAAGGGCCAACAGACTGCTGCCTGTGCCCTGGCTGGGTCCTTTGTAGACTGGGGGAGAGGTGAGGCCAGAAGCCAGTCAGACTCATTAAGCAGGGTCGGTAGGAGGTGGGGACACCAGGCCAAGACCGTGAATACATATGGGCTGCTGAAGCAATGGAGGAAACGAGGGCAGAAGTTGTTTAAACCGAGGGCAGAGTGGATTCAAGTAAAGCGAATTGCTCTGTTGAGACAGCAGGAGCCGAGGCATGTCTGAGGTCCTAGAATGTTAATCAGAGCATGGCCTTTTGTTTGTTTGTTTGTTTTCCTGAAACCCCATCAACACAGATCATCCAAGGTCAATGGTACTTTCTCACCCAATGAAAGATCCTATACTAGTGATGGGTAGAATCACTAGTACACTAGAAAGTACTGGGGCATTGAATGTTTATCCTGTCTGAGAAAGCCTAATGTTCTCTGTGGGTGTTGGCTTCCTCACTTATCTGATGGCGGAGAAGCTCTCTTACACTGACCGGCCAGATTAACAGGCAGGATTTCCTGGCACCTATGGCCAAGGCAGCTAGGGGAGCAGAAGATGGTTTTACCAAGTACATCCGAAAAACTTTCCCCTCCAGTCTTCTCTTGATTGGAGTGTTTGTCAGCGTGTTGCTGGAGATGGACTTTTAGGCATGGGGTTTCTATTAGAGGTGGAACTATATTATGCAGTAGCTCAAACTCCAGCTGCAAGTATCAAAAAACCGAATCCACGCCAGCTGAAGCAAAGGAGAAGATGCATCGGCTCGTGTGACTGAGAAATGAAGATCCTCGCGTCAGGTGCAGCTGAGTACAGGTGCCCAGACAGTAGCCTCAGGATCCAGCTCCATCTTTGGGCTCTGCATCGATCGTACTCAGGCTCCGTGGTAGGGAGAGGTGGATGCTAGCAGCTTCAAACTTACTTTCTCTTAGGTTCAAGGTCAGGACGAAGCAATAAAGTTGTCTCTTGCTGCAGTCCCAGGAAAGATCTCAGCGGGTATCACTGGTTTAGTTGGGTCACGTGACTATCCCGGAACCACCCCTTTTGCCAATTGACTGGGATGGAGCCCCACCCAGATTTCAAGGATACATGGAAAGAGACGGATCCCCAAAGAAAAATTATTAATCCTGGGGTTGGGGTGGGGGGCGGCAGGGAAACAGAACTCATCCTGAAGTCCCTTACTTTTTTTTCCCCCAATAAAATTATTTCCTCTATGAATTTAGGAGCAATGAAAGACAAGAACTAGCTGGTTCTCATTAAACTGCAACCCTTATAATGCCTAGAATGTAACAGAAATTCAGAAAATGCTTTTGTTCATGCTGATCACACGATTCATAGATTGAGGTGACTTCTGTGTTTGACTAACTCATATAAGTATGTTAGAAATGATTCATATCTCATTTCGAAAATCATAATTTCAGTATGTGTTAATTTTGTTTTTGTCATATACAAATGCCACTTGATTACTGTTGCTTATGAAGTTATTTGACTACCACATAATTTGTAATATGCCTGAAAAGCAAAGTAACGATATGACTTAGATCTGCAAAATGGTTCTGGGCGGGTTCGGTGGGCACTTGGTGCTTTGTTTGGGCACAGTTGCGGAAATACCATTGCGTGAAAATGGCCCTCGGCTGTCATGAAGTCTGCAGTTCGTCATGGTCCGTGCTTATCTGGCTGTTCCTGTCATTATTCTCAGGTCTGCAATAAAATCATCTTTCTAATGAGTTTTGTGGGCAACTGTGGAACATTCACTAGAGGTTACCGAGCCATGGTTCTGGATGTTGAGTTCCTTTACCATTTGTTGTATCTGCTGATCTGCGCCATGGGCCTCTTTGTCCACGAGTTCTTCTACAGTCTGCTGGTGAGTTCCTGGTATGGAAAGATTTTACGTGTCGAAAACTAGGAGTGTCCTGTGTCTCTCCTCACAGACCCCTCCTTTTAATGGTGATTGGTATGTCGGGGCTAACAAGGTCACATGCCTCATTTCCAGTATCTAGAGAAGAAAGCTCCCCAGGGAGCAGGGCAGCTGGTAGGGGACCAAGAGGTATGTGATTGTGCTGCTTGCGTGCACATTGGACCTTTCACTTTCCAGTGGTATGCAGTGCCTGCCATCTGGACCAGGGGATGTGTCCTCCACATGCATCTTTGCTTTGCTTTCTTTCTTGGACTCAGCCAGTGCTTACCAGGGAGAATGTTTTCTGAGACTGTCATCATCTGACAGTTCTCATGGGATCCGCTTCCCAGGGAGAACATGTAGTGATGAAATAAGAGGAGGAGTTTTTTCAAAGTCCCAAGATCTATGACAGGGAGCTCAATAGATTTATTGGTCCAGGAGACCTTTTCGCTGGAAGTTCTTTGGTTCCAATCTGAGCCAAGTGATTAATGTTTTCATAGTCTATAAAATGAGTTGGTTCAATCACCTTCCTCCTGAGCAGGTTTTTAAATTATAGACCAAATATCTACTTACTTTCCTGTCATTAGAGGGAATCTAGACCTGTAGAGTTATAGATAAGAAACTTTTGCCTTGTACCTACATCAAATGACAAGAAGCATAAAGCTGAGCTATCTGCAAGCAAAACTATCCATAAAGGGACTAGAAGAATTAAAATGTTAGTGAGGATAAAAAAATGATCAAAGGGATTTATTTGCAAAGGGTAGAGCAAGGAAAACTCTTCTGGGAGGTATTCTCCATGTGACCTCTGGACTGGTTACTGAATTTCTCTGTGCCTCAGTTTCCCCATCTACAAAATGAGAACAAGCTGTCCCCCTCACAGGGCTGCCACAGGGATTATCTGCAACTGTGCATGTCAGGGCCTTAGAATAGCACTACCACACAAGAAACGCTTAGCAATTCTAGCTATTATTACTGTCTTTGTCATCGCTTACTTCCTCTGCCATCCAAAACACCATAAAGAATTCACCTTTCAGGTCATCAGGATTAGCTCATTCCATTAGTGGTAGATGTTGGCAGGCTGAGGGAAATGGATTGTTTTACCTCCTTTTAAAATAGGTCTGGCTATAGTTTGAGGTTTTAGGTAAAGAGGTCTCTGGATATACTTGTGATGGCCATTATGTGGCCTATTTTGGTCACTCTGTATCAGAAATCTTGAGAGCTCCATGTATATTTCTGAGCCTTTTTGTCTCTTACAATAATGTCCCTGGATAAGGATCTGGTTTGTGTGTGTGTGTGTGTGTGTGTGTGTGTGTTTTTTAAAGATTTTTATTTATTTATTTGACAGAGACACAGCGAGAGAGGGAACACAAGCAGGGGGTAGTGGGAGAGGGAGAAACAGGCTTCCCGCAGAGCAGGGAGCCAGATGTGGGGCTCGATCCCAGGACCCTGGGATAATAACCTGAGCTGAAGGCAGACGCTTAACGACTGAGCCACCCAGGTGCCCCCAGGATCTGGTTTTAGAGTCAGGGAGACCCATGTCCTCCTGGGCAAGGAGGCAGAGCTCAGTTGGAGGTCTCTCTCATCCCAACCGAGGGATCTCTCCCAAGAGACAGGAGATTCTGCTTCAGACAGTGCCATCTCTTCCTGGGAGGGTGTGACTTTGCCTACGTTCTGTGTCCCGTTGGCTTCGTTTCCCTGTCTCTACCTTCAAGTCCTCTGCTTTTGGTCCTTCGAGATGATGGCTGGCGCCCATGCTAGATGCAGGGCTGTTGTAGGGAGACAAACCAATACCGTCTCTGCCCTCACAGCCCTCACGGACCACAAAATCATCGTTACCACCATTTACTGAATGTTTCCCATGTGCTCTTTTCATACTGTCTCTCACCACGACTTCTGAGGTAGATGATGTCTGCAAATGACAGATGGCGAAACTGAGGCTTGGTGAGGTTAGGTAACTTGCCCAGAGTCACCCAGTAAGTGCCAGAGACCGGATAGCAGCTGAGCTCTGGTGACTGCCGAGTCAGTTCATAAGCCCAGCTCCGAACTGCCTTTCATCTGAGCTCGTGAAAAAGTCCCTGCTTCGGTGTGGCTGGTATTTCCCAGTGCAGTTTGCATTCTTGCTTTCACGTCTCTCATCTGTCACAGAAACAGTAACTCCGAGCTGCCAGTGCTACCTGAGCTCAGCTCGCTTTTGGAGAACTCACCAGGATCCAACCAGATGGTGGCTGGATGCCTCTTGTATGTGTTTCTGGCTGTGACTTGTCTGTGACCTCAGGTGACATGTTACTTTTGCTATCAAAAGTAGTATTTAACGTGTTTACTGAGAATCACAGACAAGTACTGAAACCTGTGACAGAAAGGAGCTGGAGAGAGACCTCCAGCAGGGAAAACCCACATCTCCCGAGGTTGTGAAAGCCCCGCTCCAGCAGACCAGAAAAGGACAGTGGGAGAGTGGGGCCCCAGACTGGCTGAACCTGGTCTCGAGCCTGCATCCAAATGTGTCCTTAGAAAACGTTAACACCCCGAGATGAAAATGTGTCAAGTTCATGGATGAGCAGGTAACAGGAGGAGAAATCCATATGGTCAGTAAACATGGAAGAATGTTCCACATTAATGCTAAATACAGATGTGCCAATTAAAACAACAGTGTGATCCCGAGCTGTACCTGTGATGTTTGGGAAGGTCCAAAGGTCTGAGCATGTCCAGGTCTTACGAGGGTGTGCTGTAGTGGCCCCTGTCCCCTGACAGCATGGATCAGTACAGCCTTTCTGGAAAGCAGTGGGGCGATCGATATGTTTCTAGAAAGTTGCAACATTTGACCCAACAATTCCATTTCTGGAAATTCTCCAAAAAGAAATAACTGGACAAGTATGTGTAGAGGCAAGTACAGAGGTGTTCATCACAGCATTATTTTTAATGGCATGCAATTGGAAACATCTTGACTGTTTTAAAAAAAAGTAAATATTTTGGTTAAGTAGACTGGTTTTTCTGTACAGTGACAGTCTAGGTGATCATTTCTGACACAAAAATGTTCATGATTGCTTGGTGAAAGGGGCTGACTATATGCCAGTATTATGGTATATTGTATAACATTTTTCCAATGTAGTAGGGGCAGAAGAAATAACTTGAGTAGATGGTGGGGTTATTGGTGAATTTTGTTTTTCTTTGTGCTTTTTTGTGTTTTCAAAATTTTCTCCATTGAACATGTGTCATTTTCCAATTAGAAGAAAGTTTCTCCTTTATAAAGTAATGCATGTCCATTGTCTTAAAGTCAGAAATTACAGTTGAGTGGAAAAAGGAGTTACTTGTCATCTCAATGACTTGGTGGCTATATAATCTTACAGTTCCTACCCCAGAACACAAGTGTCATTTGTTTATTGTCTGAAGTTGCTCTCACTTGCTGCTTCATAGTAGGTTGCTGGAAAATATTTAACTGTAATAGCAACATTAGCTTTTTGTACTCTTATATTGATGAAATGCCTCTTTCTTGCTTCCTTCCCTTTGAGTCTCCTACTTTACCTGGTGCCCCAACCACAGGTCTCAGGACACAGATTGGCCTTATGGAGGCAGAAGGGCTAATTGACCAGAAAATGAACTCAGATGTAAAACTATAAATTGGAAGGGACTCGGAGATTAGCTAGTTCAGGGAGGTTACATGACTTGATCATCATCTTACTACAAATTAAAAGCAGAGTCAGGATTCAAACCCTTGTCCCCTGACTCAGTTGGCTGTGCAGTCATTCCCCAAAGCCGTGTGGAGGCAGAACCTTTAGAAGATTTGGTGTCAGCACAGAGACCACATTAAAACTAGCCCCCTGGTCCAAGAATAAGCCCACAGAGCTCTCCTCCACGGCTCTGTACTCTTCCTGCAGCCAAATATCTGAGAAAACCAGCCATCAGTACCACATACCTAGAAGTACCTACAGGCCAACTTCTTGCAAAGAGCAAGTAGTCTCTTAGAGAGGGCGAGCCGAGACTGTGAGCCCACAGTGCACTGCACGGGGTCTCCGCCCCCCCCCACACACACCTCCTCCCCCCATTAGGGAGATGGGAAGGGTTTAGGCTTCCTGGTGTGTTACCACCACCAGTGTCCCTGCCATGAGCTGTGTGACCTTGGCCCAGTCCCTTCATCAGGAAATGATCCTTAGCATTTACTGTGCGTACTCAGCATGTAAGTGCAGCTGTATGCCATGTGCTGGACGCAGTACACATCACGTAGCTAGGGTTCACAGCAGCACCCTGTCCTCCCATCTGGAGATGAGGAAACGGAGGCTCAGTGGGGAGGAGAAAGTGCCTAGCCCACTGTCCTGATGTCCTGTGCTTGAGCTCAGATTGCCCCTCGCACTCCAGAGTCCCTGCTGCCTATGCTGGCCTGCTGTATGTGGCCTTCCCTGTGAGACTCCAAGCTCCGGGAGGACAGGGCCAGGGCTGGTCCAATCCTGTATGCAGAGTGGCTGGCCCTTAGCAGAAACTCAGCAACTACTCCCTACACAGACGCATGCCAGGACCCTCATCACTTTGCTCTCCCTTACCTTCTGAAACCCACTGTTCCACCCTGTATTTTCTCCATCCCCAGGACCTCTCAACTGTATGAGTACCACTGGAAATTGCTCTTGCTTCCTGCCCACCTTTTCTAGGCTAATGTTTCCCATCTCCGTTTTCACTAAGACAAGCAGTATAAAGTGTTAAGATAATAGAATGCTTTTGAGTTTCTAAAAGGGTAAATTCTCTATAAATCAAGTTTTCATTATGAGATATTTGTGTACATCTAACCTAGAGGCTTCTTAAAACTGTCCCATTGTCTTCTCTTTGTTCGTTTTTAAAGCTTTTTGATTTGGTATACAGAGAAGAGACTCTGCTTAATGTCATTAAAAGTGTCACTCGCAATGGACGGTCCATCATCTTGACAGCAGTTCTGGCTTTGATCCTGGTTTACCTGTTCTCAATAGTGGGCTATCTTTTCTTCAAAGATGATTTTATCTTGGAAGTAGATAGGTTGCCCAATGAAACTGCTCTTCCAGGTGAGTTTGAGATCTTCGGATCTTTTTAATGTTAAGAGAACAGTTCTTGATTGTAAGTGAACTAAAGAGAACGATGACTTTAGCAATGTGGGTATCTCCCTAGCACTCAGACTATGAATTCTGATTCCAGGGCTTGGTTCTCACTTTATTCCAAGGGTGGTTTGGTATGTCAGATGCTGAGTATAAGGGTCCAGAGCCTACATTTAACTTATTCACTAAAGTCAGTTTTTAAAAGAATACAACTTATTCAAAAATAATTTGATCCTATATATCGAAAGCACAGGGGGATGCATCCCTCTGGCTTGGTAAATCTACTTCTAGGAATTTATCCTTAAAGGAAAAACCTGCTGAAACAGATGTATATGGAAGAATGTTCACTGCAGTGTGAAAGCGGAACCAGTCTAAACTTTAAGTAGAGTATTCCATTAGAGTGTCCTATGGGGTGGCATCCCCTGCAGAGAGGGCACATCTTTGTAAACCTTCAAGGAAAAGCACCCACAAAAGTGTGGTGGGAAATTGCAGAATAATAACTATAATAGGATCCACATATATTTTTTAAAAATGAAAAAACTCATATATGTCTTTTAAAATATGGAAGAATATTACCTACCCCCAGCAGTGGCTGTCTCTGGGGCTTTTTTTTTTTTTTTTTAACTGTATGCAAGTTTGACAGTGAGCTTACATTATTTTTATAGAGAGAAAACAGAAGTCATTTCCACTTTTGAGAATGAAATAAAATGATCATATACTTGAGTGATACCCAAATGTTCCTTGTCTCAATTAAAATATTTTAACACCATTAAGTGAAAGATTGATGGTTGTTTTGTTTTGTTTTTAATCAGGTAGCCAGAGGCCCCAAGTCCAGTGAACAAACTAGAATTATTATCACTGACTAAGCCAGGCAGCCTTGTTCTCCCAAATGCTGCATTCTTGGCATGTAACTCTAGCCTCCAAGTTGACACTAAGTGAAATTTGCTGCCAACCATCTTAGGGTTCCGAACTAAACTGGTCTGGACCTTGGATTTCCGTTCCTGCTCACTGACGCTTTTTGTGCAGACTTGGTGTAAATCTTGCTGGAGTCTGTACGTACAGTAGTATTTGTCGAAGAGTTTCAGCTGTGTGTCTTTAAAGTTGGAGAGGTGCTATTTAAGTGCGATATTTCTAGTAAGCCTACAGGAATTGACATTTCTGGCTTCTTTCCCATCCAGATCACCAAATGAAAGTGTAAATTGTATCTCTGCCTTGAATTTATATGCAGGAATGTAGGGTGTTATTTATGTAAAGAATTGTTTAATCAGCCGTGAATTGGGGACTTCAAACATTTTAACCATATGCTGCCAGATTGTTCATCATAAAATTTCCTCTCTTTCCCAGGAGCCGGCGAGAGTTTGGCAAGCGAGTTCCTATACTCTGACGTGTGTAGGGTGGAGACTGTGGAGAACTGCTCCTCTCCTGCACCCAAAGAAGGTAGGACCTTGGAGGCTTAAGCCCCATGTTAATGTTAGGCTCCTCTGGAAGCTTAGATGGTGCACAGGACATTGGAAGCAGATGGAAGCAGATTTATTGTTCAGAAGTAAGGCCAGTAGCAAAGGGGAAAGGCTGGGAGAGAGGAGGGAGATGAAGGGAAAAGAAGGCTACATGGGAAGAAAATACCTGCTTGGTTGATTCAGCGACTATTTACTGGGTGCCCCCTATTTGCCAGGGACTGTGTTGTACTCTAAGATACACCAGTATGATGGAGGAGGCAGGGAGGCACCTAGGTGATTATTAGACGTATGTTAAATGCTAGGAATAAGGAAGGAATACAGAAGATAGGCACCCAGAGGTGATAGTTAAACTAAAACAGTAGAATCTTGGACAGTGGAGGAGGGTTAGGTGTTCCAGTTATTCCAGGGAATAAGGCGTCTAAAGGCTTGGAAGTAGAATATAGTGTGTTGAAGGAGATAATGATCATGAGGAAGAGTAGTAGCAAGAAATGAAGCCAGAGAGGTCAACAAAAGGCCAGATCACAAAGGGTCTTACATGTTAGGCTGAGGAGGTTAAACTTCACCCAAAGGACGAATAGACGTTAAAGTGGGGCGGGGGGAGTGATATGATGAGATCTGTTTTAGCAAGACCATTCTCGCTGCAACTGCTGAAAAGAACAAGATAGGCAGCAAGACATGGTTCTTCCTCCAAAAATGATTAAGAATGGACAGCATCCAATATAAAGCTATTTATCCAGGGGACCTGCTGTAAAACGTGGCTGGATTTAGCCAGCGAGGAGCTAGGTCCTGTGGGATTACCCTCAGCTGAGAGACGAGATGCTTGTGATTCGGAGTATTAAGCAACTTATCTAAGGTCAAATGCCTGTTCAGAGCTGGGACTGGAGTTTAAATCTGAAAAGGATAGGGAGTATTTTGGATTTAATATAGGGAAGGGCAGTTCTGACTTGGCTTGAGAAACTAGCAAGGGTTGGTGATGAAAACAGAATTGCCCCAGGTAACTTCAGCTTTTTGAAAGAAGGTATATGACACTTGATTCCTTAGTTTTATTCTTTCTTGTTCCTGTGTGTAGCTGGTGAGCTGGCATTCAGGGAACACCATCTCAAAATCATGGTCTCTCTTTTCCCACACGTTGTAAATCTGTTGTTACTCACCGTGTTCATAGAGCCGGTCCTTGCAGAAGAGACGAAGCAAGACAAAGAGCACACGTGTGAGACGCTGCTGATGTGCATCGTCACGGTGCTGAGTCATGGGCTGAGGAGCGGGGGCGGAGTAGGAGATGTGCTCAGGAAGCCATCCAAAGAGGTAGCTGGAT